ATATTTTCACCGACTAGTCGTATAAATTTCATACAAACTGCCCCCAAAACTTTTTTGGTATAAGAAATATTTAATGGCTTTATACTGCAACATACTATTAAGTAAAAGTGTGTTGCTCAGAAACATTTCTTCCTTCCAGTTGCTTTTGCTACGTATTTGTAAATTTTCTAACTCATCATACCACTACCTAATGTTCCATAAGTTTTCTTAGCTTTAAAATTATTTTTCTGGCCATGTTTATTATTTTTAATTTGCCATATACCTCAAAAACCTGCATGTTAATCTGGTCCGTACATGCGTCGCATCATATCTCTGTCTTTTAAATTTAAAAATCATTTGAATCGCCTATAACACCTTTAATAAACCCGTCATATCATTATTGCTATACGTTTTTGGGTTTATGAATTCTTCTATTACATTAGTAGCCTAAAAACACGAACATAGTTTAAATAATAAAGTCACCGAATTTAAGTGCTATTATAATGCACTAGTATAATAACTAAACTATCAGGTAGTTGTTGGCTAAACAAACATTTAAAATTAAAACTCCGGAACCTATTAATAAACTTAACACTAGACGTATATTTTTGAATTGAAATTTATAATATAATTAGGCAGCTCGGTTTCTTTAACACTACAAATTTCTGATAATCCCAAATCACCTAAAGCAACAATACCTACTTTTCACTGGCTAATCCTCAATCAACACTATAGCTAGTTAAGCATGATGGTTTCAAGATATCGTCATTAAGCATTGTCATGACTTGACGATCACGTAATATGATTGATAAAATTGATGAAACTATTAACAAAATCGGTCAACAAACTGACTTAAAATTATCGTTAGATAGTGTTTTTTCTCCATATCTTCGTCCATTACAGATGATTTCAGTATGTTTCTCTATCACTTGCTCATTCAATAAATATCTCAAAACCTTGTCAGTCTAATGGGAGGTTTGGTAACATAATCATGCATGCAAATAATCAGTATAAGCAGTCGAGCAAGTCTCCTGAAAACTGGTAAAATCAATGTCGAATTTACCTCAACACTAACTAAGGTTCAAGCCATTATCATAGACATGAGTTGTGAGTGTACTCCTCTTGGTTACGACTTATGTTCTCCCTGATAATCACATGAGCATCACTCACTGTTGATAATCTTGTAAAGACTTACTTAGCCAAAGTCATCTCACGGCACTACATCACCAACAACTTACAATCACTATATCTCAACCAAATTGTATTCCACCTCATACTAAACTGCATATTTGCAACTAACTTGTATGCACCATCAGCCGGTAAGTATAAATATAAATAAATAGTCTATGGCAAGTCAGAATATTGAGTCTAGAGCATGTCTCTTACAAATACACTAACGTTTAACAAATTTTTCTTATCTACCTGTCCAAAACTCACATGATTATCATATTTCACATATTAAAAACCTTTTTTTGATAATCATTCATATGTATTAGTAATATTACTAAATTCTATCACGGTCAAGTAAAACTGAGGTCGAGAAAATCTCCCCATAACTGAATAAACCGTATCAAACTAACAGGAACACTAGTTGGAATTCTTCTTCACGTAAAACACTTTTGTTCTTTCAGTTAGCCTACTAATACAGATGCAATCGGAAATCAACTCACATGGACAGCTTACTGACATAAACATTATTTGATTTCATAATTTTAACCAAAACTAATACCAATATTAAAATTTCTACAATACTGATTGTTTTTAATATTTATAAACACAAAATATGTACTACCTATAAGTTAATCTATTAACACGCATCTTAAGCCAACTTATTAAAATATCCCTAAGCGGAATCATTTTACTATCATTATAATCCCGTTTCTGCCCAAATAATCATCACCCAAAATTTCATTTAGGTGTGCTAAGCATTAAAACAGACACTTTAAAATTATGACTTGTATTCCCCGACCAGATTGGAGAAATCCTCGACATCAACTTCATCGATCAATTGAACCAAGAATTTTCAGATGTGGACCATTCATCGAATCTAATAACATTTGACGAGCTGGCAAATATTTGTCTGACTCTCAGGCCTGTATCATGTAAACCAAAATCCATAAATCCGGGAATGTCGCAAGAATATGACAAATTCTAATTAGCAATTCTGAAACGGTATCTGTAAGCCATATTTTCACCGGTGTGTGACTTATCCGTAAAGCCACTGAACTTTACCACAGAATGACAACAGGATACGATCTCTACAGGTTTCAGAATAAGAGAAAAAAGACCTAACCAGACACAAACCGGTTGCATTACTCCCAATGGTGTCGAATTGAGTTGAATTACTTGCCAGTGACCGAAAGAGCGGATACATGAATAAAAAGAATGTGCTTCATGTAGCTTAAATCTTGTCGACTGTCATGACTTCGTAATAATGAGATTCATAAGAAGCGATAAGAATACATTCGAGCTTCCAAATTACTTGACAACAACCGGGGATGGGGATGAACGTTGGATTACCATTCAACCTTATAAAACATCATGTCCTGAACGTTCTGCCTCATGATGAATATCAACCATAGAAAGGTTGAACACAAGCTAAGATTACATTGATGATGCTATGACTGAAAATATGGCCATTCACTTTATGCGAATACTACTCTACGTAATCGCTCAAGAATTCCTTATGAAATGCTTTGACACGTACTTACAATCTAAGCAGGATGACCAGAACATTGTCACATTATCTATCCTCAAAAGAGGCATAAATCTCTTCGAACGAACATCTGGACCGGGAAATAAGTAAGTGACGAGAATGAGAAACAGATCTTTTGGTCATAGACCTCAAGACTTGCGATCATTTTCACTCTGCTACGGGAGATTTGGAGGTGATCTGATAATGACACGCAACGTACTAATTATTCTAGTTCACCTCAACGCAACCATCACACCAGAAATCACCACTGTGCTCTATGAGGTGACTTTCAAAACATTACACATCCTAGTGAGAATACCCAAATGAATAGCCTCCACTTGAAATGGTCCTCTAGTAGAAGCGGAGATAGAACTCAATGTAGAGAGCTTGAGGAGGATGTTTGATAATTACGTGCTTTGTAATGAATTATCATCTCTGTTTTCGACCAGTTGTAACTAATTTATTTGTTTATTCATGGCTTTCTTCAATATTATATTTTGGTACATTATGAAATTCTCAGCACAAAAATATTTCAACAAGTTTCTTTTACAGAAAAAACGGTTAATAAAAAGAAAAAAATCTGAAAAAACTGTACAACTTTTCAATTAGAGTCGTGTTAAGAATGCAGATTATTGACTAGGTCAACTCTAACAAGTTGTTCGTCAAAGAGTATATTTGCTAGGTAAGGTAATATAGAACGTTTATACTTTTGCTTGCGTGCTCGGATTTTAATGTGATTTCGTCTCGTTCCACCAAAAGATATACAAGGAGAAAGATATGAGTGAAGGGGATGGTTAGTATCTGATAAAATAACATCTGCCAGGAGTTTGCATGACTTTAGATGTCTATCCACAACCATATTTATTATGATCTCGAAAGATTCACCACATACCTTGCTAACTGCCTTCAGCGCTCTCCGCAGTACAGCAAAGTCTTTCCTCAAAATCCCTGGAAAGAATAATTTAGAACAGTAAAGAATAATAGGTAATATGAAAGAATTGACAAATTGTAAGAGTAAATGACGAGTGAGCCCAAGAGCATACAATCTCTTTATGTAGTAAGTCAGACGGAAAACCTTCTTCGATAACAATGAAACGTGAGAAGACCAAGAGAGATCAGAGAAAAAGGTAACACTAAGATAATTGACCGTCGACACTGTATTTATCAGTGAGTCGCCAATGGCACAAGCATTATGAGATCTCAAAATGGTGTTTAAATGACGAACATGTCTCATGCTAAAGTTAACAGCTTGGCATTTAGACGGATTAAGTGGGAGACCATTAACAACAGACCAACTATCAGTACGAGATAAAAACTTATTCATTGCTATAGAATGTAAAGAGGAACATAGCCAGTTGGTTATCCAGCTGTCAGCATTGACGCTGATTAACTTGTTAAATATACGTTGTCTTGATATAGAATCAAAAGCGGAAGTATAGTCCAGGAAAGCGCATCGAACATACTCCTTATCTTTTTCTAGGTTGAACACTATATTATGATGCAGAACAGCAACAGCATCTAAAGTGCTGCTTTTGCATCCGTAAGCAAACTGATACTGGTCAATGTGCTGTTTTATCGCAGGCTGAAGTGAAAGTGTCAATAATTTTTCCATTGTTTTGAGGAAGGGTGAAGTTATCGCAATCGGTCTGAATTTCCCATTCTTATCACTAGATGCTTTTTTGGGTATAGGGATTATCTTCATCTTTCTCCACATTTTTGGTATGAGATTAGAAGAGAAGGATCTATTAAAGATAGTAGTGAATGGATAGCATAGGACGTCTCGTAACTCATCTACTACTGTAATCAACACATATGTTACTTAATTCTTAGTTCATTTGTTATCATCCCATTTTATCCTCATCTATCGATTTGATTTCTAAGTGATTAATTAATTTATTTAATTATTCCTTCAGCAGTTCGTCTGCTTTCCGTTCTGCTGCATTTTAATTACCACTATGATTTTCTACATTACAACTAATCTACCTCCTATATGGTAAATTGTTGGCTGTTAGTGTCAAAAACGTTTATTCCTTGAGAAAAATGAACTCATTCAGATTATAAGTTATACAAACCCACAGCATTTAACGGACAGTTCAGAATTAGTGTAACTCAATGGCACGATTAACAATAATCATACATTACGAAAGACTTGTAACAGAGCAGAAGTAGCATTAATGGAGCTCATGGAAATCGACCATATTTTACAAACACGTAACATTCGTATTCCGTCTATTGAATATTGGATGCAACTAAATAATGTGTCTTGTTTTTCTACATTCTACCAGCGGGGCCGCGTCTGGCGAATTTCTGATCACGAGGTGACGCAATGACAAACACCAAAGGATATCGACGAGGCACAAGATATTTATTCTCTCGAAAGTTCAGACACCATGGACCTCTGCCATCTTCGGTTTATATGCGAGTGTATCGACGTGGTGATATAGTAGATATAAAGGGTGATGGTGGTGTCCAAAAGGGTATGCCCCACAAGTCATATCATGGTCGAACTGGTCGCGTTTATAACGTCACTCCTCATGCTGTTGGGATAATCGTAAATAAACGTGTCGGGTAGGTTGTTTTGGTTAATTAAATTTCATTTATAGTAATCGTATAATTCCTAAACGAATAAATGTAAGGATTGAACATGTGAAGCCCAGTAAGTGCAGAGAAGATTTCCTCCGTCGTGTGAAAGAGAATGACGTAAAAAGACGGGAAGCAAAAGAAAAGGATGTGTTTGTTCAGTTGAAGCGACAGGTAAATTGACCCATTTCTAATGAAGTTTGTCTTAGCCTGCCCAGCCAAGCGCAGCTCACTTCGTGAAGACCAAAAATAATCCAGTTGTCACCGTCCATCCGCTACCGTATGAACTCATCGCTTAAATCAAATAAAATTGTTAATGGTCTGTATTTCTCTTGTTGTACGTTTGTGTAGATTGTAACAGTGACGATCAAGTAAACTCTCTTGAAGATTAGTTGAGTTTGTCGAGAACAAGTAGTGGTATGTGACTTGAATGTTATGAGTGTTTACAAGTTCAGATCTGCAACAAATTTCGTTTTAGTGTAGTTTTAATATGTATGGGGCTGACAAGACAAATTATGCGTATTTTGGTCTGTAGGTTTCGCCAAAGATATTCGTGTTCGTGAAAGATTACTGAATCCAGAATTTTTTTATTGTCTATGGTGACTTAAGAAAATTACAGCTCTTCAATAGCTTTGTCATTGGGTAGTTCGGCTGTTTGTCAGATATTTGGAAGAAGTTGGTAAGGCCCACCCTTGCTTTTTAGTTAAGTACTCATTTTAAGGACGTAAAGCCCATTACTTACAGTTAATTGTGACGGGTAAGCATGTTAGTGGAGCTCAGTTAGCTAAGCTGCTTATTGTTGTCGCGTGTTCTTGCCTTATATCTGTTAGTAGATTGTTCGTGCAAGGTAGGATTCACTCGTTCACCTATTTGTTTACTTGTCAGTTTCCGTAAATTTATCAGGTATATATTACCATTCAAGTGAGACTTAGTTTCGAGTGGATTCCCCTCTACAGAGTACTTCATATTAGTCCTATTCAAACACTACCTAGCTCGAATTACAATGATAATTAGTTTATGAATTGATTAGAAAAAGTTAAGGGTGATGAGTCCACTGAAAATATATGACACCTCAATTTTAGCACCTTACTGAACAATTTTTGCCTGTGTTAACAGTATTGTTTGTAAAGGTATATATATATATATATATGTTATCAACCTAAGGTAGTTAAAGAAGTATGAGGCTCGCCACTTAGTATTTTGGAAGTCCATAAACCAAGTCTGCAAAATAATAACTCCATTACTGAAAATAATCTCACTGGGAGATATCTAAGTGCTAATATCCCCCTTCTTAAAACACTACTTCACTCGACTAGTCTCAAAAATAATAACAAGGATAAACAGAAATTATATTTCAAATAAACAAGGTTGGATGGAAATAGGGTTCACACCAAAAGAAACGTTATTTATGATTCTACACGAGATTATTGAGTCTTCTCTAGTTATCTGCTAGTGCTGATTGATTTAGAAATGACCAATGAGCCTTCCACAACTCAATCCTGCGCGGAATGTGGTTTAATCGAATCTGTTAACTGAAACCTGCACAAATACTACTTGCAGGCAGTAATCATATGCGTGTTTGTAAGGCACGGTTACTGCGCATATTTATATACAAGGAATACTAGGTCTAAATCAATGTGCACATTTTAATGTTGCGACGGTCAATCAACTAGAATGATATTTGAGTTGCTAAGTAAAATAAGTACAACAGGTATTTTGAAGACCTAGTAGGTTTGTAGCATGTGAGAGAACGAAGAGTTGAGGATTGTGATCTGTATACAATGTTTCTTTTTACAAAGAAGTTGACATTACGATATTTTATAATAGTGCAACCTGAATAAGATTATGAATATTCATGTAAATTATTTATAAATGAATTCTAATCTAACCAATGCTACAAGTTGTAGCTGTTAAGCACATCAACAAAGATGTGAGATTGGATCGCACAGAAATTAATAGATGAAGACTAAGTGGTTGCGTTCATTTGTTAGCGAAATATCCGACTACAATTCACATATATATGCATCCATTCACACTAAATTTTACTGGGAAAGTTTATTTTAGTTAACTCATACACTTGTCATATCTGCTCTCCTAATAAATTTATTTCGCTTTCTATAAAATGAACAACTGGTGTTGTGTACAGTACATCTATTTTAGGAATATATAATAAGTACTACAAGACCATCTTGGTCGGCTTTTAAACACACTTGAGGATGTAAAGACATTGATGTCGCAAAAATGTTTTTATAGTATCTTGAAAAATGCGGTAACGAACTTTTTCACTGATGATAAAAACGTATTTTGATTTTGAACAAGTAGTTTGATATTATAATCTGACTAAATCAACACTCAATCACTTATAGTCTCCAACGTTAAAATTTCGAGAGTAAGATTCTAATGATATTCACAGTGTGGTAGAAATGAAATAAAACTTATTTGTGGACAAAGGATATAAAACTGAGGAACTTTTATAACTGATATTTTTAATTTGAAGTTTTAACAAGGATCTAAAAGTGAGGAACTAGTCTGGGATTCTGATTTCCGTGTCATGTATAGTCACGAAACCTAATAGTGAATAGCTAAATAAACTATCATATGTAAAGTTCATTTGATTGTTTCGAATTTTTAGATTTTCCTAATCCGTCTCAGTGTCGATAAATTGTACACGATGTAGAATTCACCAGGACGACATTCGTAGCAAATGTCCAAGCCGCCGACGTTGTTTCAGCATGGATTGTCGTCAGTGTGTCTGAACAAGTTATCGAACCCTCTAAATACTAACATGGTGTTATCACTGAATTTCAGTAATTCTTTTGAGACAACAATGATCTAACAAAGATTTGTCTAACATACTCGACTCCGTGAGCCCAAGTTTTACAAGCATATAGCAAAACTGCTCTTACCGGCACGTCGTAAATCCAACTTTTGCAGTCAGACTTATGTCAAAACGTCAACAAAGATAGGTCAGATTAGCACAAACCGCTCTAGATCTCACTATACATGAATTAATCTCATCAGTCACACAAAAATCAATACCTACACAAATGCACAAAATCTTTGGCCATTTCTAACTATTAACGATCAAGAGTGAGTGTTGTTATAAGCCATTGAATGTCTTGTAAAATTACTTTGCAGTTAAAAGATAAAAAGCGAATGCCATACCTATGGATTGTTTGCCAACTGATTAAGTGTGGATTGCTTGGTTTGAGCATGATCTCATAGTAAGACAATGTAGTCCGAATACTCAAGATTGGAAGATCTTTCTCCAGTAAAAAGATCCACGCAACTAGTACCTCTTCCATAAGAGCAGTTTCCAGCATGCCATCGATGGGAAAGTTAAAGAGCAATGGTGAGGTTGTCTAACCCTATCTAACCCTGCTGCTTGAATGAGACGATAAAGAGAGAGTTGTTTGTATATGAGAACTTCAGGATGTTAATAAACTCAGGAACACCTATCTCCAGCAGACAATACCAGAGCACAGTACTGCCTAGCAATTCGAAGACGGCTCTGATATCGAGGAAAAGAACAAATGTTGGCCAGTAATAATTATTGGGTTGTTCTAAATTCTGGCGGAGGTTGAAAACATGATCAATACATCCTCAACAAGGATGAAAACCATCCCGCTCCTCGTGAGTCAATCTTCAGTGGATTTTGAACAATGCACGAGATATGGTGGAAGCCGAAAATTTGGATGCATCCGGAAATAGATGTATCCCTCGTTAGTTGCTGCATAGGTGACGCGTGCGTTTTTTACATTTAGGTGTTGAAGAATTTTTATAGTTCGAGTTACGAACTGTTCTTGGTTAGATCACCGTTAGAAATCTGGAAGCATTGAACGGTCGCTTCATTCTAGCACGAGACGCATCTGTGCGCACCCGGGGACCGAATTCAGGACCTCTGGTCGCGCTCCAGAGCTCTTAACCTTTAGACCACTTCAGTCTTTACTTATCTTCCTATACTAGTAGTAATTACACCCTCACTAGTGACTAACTTCAAGATTCAACTACCGGGGTTTTGGTGAGAAGCCGTAATTAGTGGAGTCGCACCATGTTGAGTATGTGTCAGTTATCCGTCATTTAAATGAAGGGACGACTGTCTCCTGACTCCTGGATGTTGCAACAGTCTCTATTTCCCTATCGGGTTTATTCACTGGGTCTGGTTTTTTATGAAGGGAAATATATTTTTTCTGAAGACTGATTGATTCATTGTTATTTGTATGAATGGAATCATACATATTGGAGTGTTTTAGTCGCTCAGCCTAAAACCAGATGGATGTAGTAAATACTTAGGAAATTTCGAAATGAGACTGAACGAACTTACGCAGCTTATAGTTATTTTCACAGTTGAATTCATGTGTTGACCTAAGCTAGACGACCATTTTAAACCTGGAAACACTGGACGGCCGTTTCGTCTTAATATGGGACTCCTCAACGGTGCGCACCCAAGATTCTGCATGATGGACTGGAGCCCAGGACCTTCGGTTTCGAGCGGAAACCCTTAACCCCCAGACAAACGGTGTTAATATCTAACTTCAATCGATCCACTTCCAATATACAGAGGTTGTAAAGAGTTGACCGACTAAATTCCCAGTGATCTAATTCAAAATGACAAAATATGCTGTTTTCTGACAAGTTGAATGATCTCGCTCTAGAAATTTCTACTAGTTGGTTGTCCTTAAACCTTACGTACACATAAGCCAACATTACAAGCTAAGTCCTGGAGCTTAATTGATAAAATTTCAATTACATTTGGAAAGTCAAGCCGTTAATAATGATTAATTCACTTACGTTTTCAACTTCTTTGTATGTTAACTTGATTACTGTTATGGCTTTCAGCAATTTAATCTTCAATATCGTAATGATTATGTTCATTCTTTGAGTTTCAAAAACAATCCTAATGTTTACTTTCATGAAGAAAGAAGTCTTTATTTTTACCTAATACCTGTAAATTTATAAAATGAAACACAGTCAATACCGTCACTAGGTTTACTGACGATTATCTATTTGTTTATGAGTATGTTGAATAATAAGTTATTTTATATGTAAATCATTCAGTGGTTTCATGAATGAAATATTTACACCTTATTCTTTCGAATGAACAAACTGATTTTCATATAATCCTAATTTATAGAAAATGACGCTAGTGATATTTACATACTATTTATCAATTCATATGGGTTCGAATCTCACGAGGTGGGATTGTGGATACGCACTGCTGAGGAGCTCCACAATAGAACGAAATGGCCGTCCAGTGCTTCCAGGTTTTCCACAGTGGTTTAGCTTCAACTGACTCATG